TATCATGGTTATGTACTCTTGATAATATCCATCACCAGTGCACCATAGCCTAGTGGCATAGGTTCTGGACTTCTGCATGACAGGTATTGTACTTGACTGACAGGTACTTGAAATAGCTGTCAAAAGCCCAGAAAGTCGTTATTCAAGCAGTGAATATGACCACGGGGCACTAAAAGCATGTCGCTGTACGCGAATTGTCGTTATTCAGATAGTCGTTATATCCGAAGTTAAATGTATACAGTTAGATGGGACTTTGCTCTGGGCATGGAAATTCGGTCGTTATTCGCGAATTGTCGTTATATCCGCAGTCGTTATTAGCGAAGTTGTCTGTAAGGGCTTTTCCAGAAATTCCAACCGCAAGGAGGTCTTGAATTAACTTGTCGTGGTGCACTTTATCAAAAGCCTTCGACATGTCTAATAGGCACAGCCCTGTGGTCTTGCCACTGTCTCTCGCCTTCTGCAGATGATCAGTCAGCACACAGAGGGCGTCTTCCGTGGAACATTTCTTGCGGAAGGCAAATTGTGTTTCGGGTACTTCAGTTATTTACGTTTGCATTTTGCCTGCTTCTAGCATTTTATGCTCAGGCCAGGCATACCTGTTCTCTTTCTGTACACATGTCCCGCCATGCATGTTTGGTTCGCATGACTTTCACCCATTCCTCATTGACATACATGTACATGTACAGTGCAACCTGTCTAAGGTGATCGCTCAAGGGGCCTTCTAAATGTGGTCTCTATTGTAGGCATATGGGGATAATGCTGGCAGGAAGATTGGCAGAATTCGTTACTTTTTCTTGTAAGTTTCATGCATGTTTGGTTTGTGGATAAAGAAATGGAGCAGAATTCGAGGAATTGCCCGCCATAAGGTTTGTATGGTTCTGGCAGTTTCACTGATTTTTGAGCAGAATCTGTCACCATTTCAAGCATTATCCGCTAATGCCTACTCTATTGTCAGGTGGTCTCCTTATCCAGGGTCGTTGGACTGGAAATAGCATCCCTCGGTCCTGGTTGCAGTGGTCTTCCGGGACAGGTGGTCGCCTTGACAGGTTTTACTGTATTCAAAATACCTTTCATAACTTCCAATGTCAGTGTTTTGGGGCTGCGTCGTGGCAAGCATATTTCGAGCATATTTTTCTGCTTTTGGGTGATTTCAAAGGATATGTTGAAGCCAGTGGGCAGTGGCCAATATGCAAAATTTGTGGGCATATTTGGGCCCTCCCTCCAGGTTGGTCTCTTTGTTTGTTTGTTTGTATACTTTATTTGAATTCGCTAATCCAAACGAGCACAAATGCTCAATGACAAGGCAGCGAATATGTTATTGTCTCTCGTTCCCTTTACTTGCTTTAGCCACGCCTTACTGAATATTGTAACGAGTAAACGTTCCGGACATTAGACTGCTTTGGTTGCAATGTTGTTATATGAGTGCGCACTTTATACTGTACATGTACATGTACGTAACTGTTTCCATGGTTTGTTTCAAACTTTGTTTCCATGGTTTGCTTTGCCAATTTTGCTGTATTCCAGCAGACAACCAAAGGTTTGCTATTGTACCAATTAGCCAAGCGAACAAGGGTTCAGCAACAAAATAAGAGAAATAAAACCGTCACCTCTCGGCAAACAAAAGTGCATGGAATTTGTGTGTGATGTAATTAAGTAGGGGTAGTTTAGGTTATTACTTATTAGGAAAGGTTGAAGGGAGACTAGCTGAGACAACCAAAGGCAAAGGCCTCGAGACTACGCGAGGCCACGAAAGACTATACCAAAACTCTGACCAAAGAAGCTCCTTCATGTACTGCATGTACGAGGGAAACGAAGTGAGTGGCAAAATCGGGCATACGATAATCCTGAAGCTGGCTTAATGCTGCCACCTGGAATAAACATGAGCTACTCGACACTTTCAAAAATGGAGTATTATTATTATTATTATTATTATTATTAATTCAACATCTCCTGGCTCGTCAGAAGACTGCCAATATATATGAGAAGTCGGGTGGTAGCCAACCACGGCGAACTGAATAGTAAGGAGAGAAACAAAGAGAGTACTGCAAGGGGAGGCATGACGAAAATGGTGAGATTATTTAGGACGAAGAAGCTGAAGCTTGAACACCTTAATGTCTGTGCATGCTTTAAGGCTAGTTGGCAGGGAAGACCAGAGAGTGTACGCAGAGAAGATAGGAGATTTCAGAAACAGGGAGGTATTGGCACGGGGTAATGAGAAGGAATGACGTGTTGATCTGGTGGACACAAACCAGTTATACTTAGCAAAGTGTTTTGGAGCCAGGTCTAATAAGATCATGTGTACAAGGATGCAAAGATGTTGCTGGTGTCGCTCTAAGAGGGGAGATACTGAAGCTAAACTGTAGAGACGTTGGGAGGAGAATATTTGATTTTTGCGAAACAGTAATACACATGTTCTTACTAATCCACCTCACCTCCACTGTTTCAACTGGTTCTCTTCCCGTAGCACGAGAAACTCCCTTTCCCTTCCGAAACCTAAGTCCTCCTTTCTACTTAACTCTCCCTTTTTCACTGCGTACTCTGCGTGGCTGGCACTTCCCCAAGAAGCTAAGGACCTTTCTTCCCTCCGCCTTTTTAAGAGCCTGGTCACGCCTTGAATTTGATTTTGTGTTTCTCATTTTGTTGCAATCACTGCTTATCCATGCCGGTTCCTTTTTCTTTTCCTCCCCTTCTCCCTTCCTTGCCGTGGTTGGCTAACACTCTCTGCATTGGCCGGTGTTCTCACTGTGCTATGAGATGCTGTAATAAATAAATAAAATAAATAAATCCTCGATTTCAATAGTGCCATCATAGATTCCTAGCAATATCGCTGTAAACCTCCTCAGCTAGCAAGCTTCAAGTTTGTTTATTTACGGATTCTCCAGAGGTAAATGGATACCTATCTTGGGAGTCTCACCAAACCAATAAAAAATGAAAATAAAAAAATGTATGGAGTGCAAAAACTCAAAATCTGTCCACATTAGTGTCGTGTGAGTGTACTGGAAAAGCAGAAATTTTCGGTGGTGTTTTACTTTCGGTAACTTCGGTGCCGACAATTTTTACCGAAAATAAAACGCACCAAATAATTTCGGTACAACCGATACTGTATACGGACCTTTTCCCTCAAGTTTCAACCGGCCCTAGGACAACAAGAAGCTCTTTTAATGCTGCTATTGCAATATCTAAATTCCGGACGACTGACGGTGTCAATTCCTTTTCAAATCGTGCTGCCCTGTTCTTTAATTCTTTGCCTGTGGAGTGGCGCACCCAGCACCGCACTACATTTGCTAAGCACCTTCAGACCATGCTAAAAGACGCAGCGTCTTTTCAGAAGTATTTTGATCTTCTTTTCAGCAAACTCCCTCATTGATCTGCACCGCCTGTATTGTATAACTGTGTTTACTGCGTTCCTAGTTTAAATTCGTTTTTAAAAACATCTCTTTCATTCTTGCACTATCCCATTATGACCATGCTTAAAGACGCAGCGTCTTTTCAGAAGTATTTAGATCTTCTTTTCAGCAAACGGCCTCATTGATCTGCATCGCTTGTATTGTATACCTGTGTTTACTGCTTACTGCTTACTGCTGCTTTATTGTTCCAAGTATCAGTTTAGTTTAGTTTAAATATCTCTTATTATTATTACTTTTTTTTTCTCACCCCACACCCCTCTACCCTGTTATCGGCCCTCTTAAGAGTTGTGTTCATCACTGTTGAGGCTTCCGATGGAAAATAAAAGAATACTACTACTACTACTATACGTGTAGTGTACTAGCACACTTACCTGGAGAACGGGTTTTACCGAAAATTTCCCTCTACCGAACCGCCGATTTTGGAGAATACCGAAAATATTACAACACCGAAAATTTCTGCTTTTACAGTACTGCCTTTCATCTACAGTGCTGGCAACTGAAATCCGACCCCCTGAGCGATGCGCTCACATCGCAAAGACCCAACACGGGATGGTAAAACTACGAAACAGAGACCGCTAGAATGTGAACCCCCACCGCTCAGGGGTCGGATTTCAGTTGCCAGCCAGCACTGTACATTGCACCCTAAAGACACCGACATAATTATCTTCCCGTTATCTGAGGATTGGTGGATAACACTAAAACTCTGAGTAACAACATACTGCAGTCGACATGTAGTTCCATTGCTGACTTGTGATACTAGTATCTTGCTTCCATCCGTTCTTGCCCGATTTTCAGCTTTTAACACCCAGCATCAGAAACAAGCAGTGCATTACATCGATCCCCGTCAATCACATGCACAGTTGGGCATCTCTTTCGAACTACAGGAGAACCTGGTTTAAACGACCACCTCACGGGGCAAGGAAAAGTGGTCGTTAAAGCCAGGTGGTCTTTAGATCCAGGTCCCACAGTGTCTGTGTAGAACTGTCGGTGCATGGAAAGACGGTCGTTAAGAGCAGGTGGTCGCTAAACCCAGAGGTCGCTTGCACCAGGTTTTACTGTAATGTAACACGTCTGATCACCCTGTAGCTAAGGCCGTTATCACACTGCGTTTGTTTGAGGCGCGTTTGCGTTTGCGTTATCTTTGATATTTATGAGCCACCCAAGTTGGGTGGTGTGCTGCTTTGCTGCTTCGAATTGTAGTTAGACCGCTTTGTCAAGTGTCAAGTATCCTACTTGTCTCGTCATCGTCCAGTAACAATCGACATTCTTTGTTGCGTTGGGACTGTAGCTTGTGCTCGTTTTCGTTGCGCTTACCTTCCCCTCTTTGGTCTTTCCATAACCTTGAACCTTCCGAGATGGAAGGCTGTGGTTAGCGCTACGGAGATGTGTTGAAGCTAGGTGTCAGGACGTCGAATGTCGCAGTACTTTGTGAGCTTTGTGCCTACTTGTGGCATTTTCTGGTTACAGTGATGGTGAGTTACTCTTAACTCGTATCCATAATTATGTCCTCTTCCTTTCTACCTTTATTTTTGGCCCAACATCCGAGTTTTAAATATGTTTTTGTTATTTATTTTTTATTTTTTATGTCGCAAATCCAAAAGCGATTATCTTCCCAATAATAAAGTAGGGAAGAGATAACGCATAAGAGAAGGAAGAGATGAAGGTAAAACCCGGTGATCATATCTACAGCAAAACAAACGCCAGACATATGGCAGAGAAAATGAATGCAGACGACAGCAGTGGACAAAAAACCTGGAAGAGTCGACTTGCGAAGTTTGCAACGGTGACAGAGTTGGAAAACCAAAGGGTTAGGCGCTACAGCTTTGCCAGTTTGAGACGGTTACGCCTGATCTGGCTTGAGACCTCGGGTTCTAAATATAGATAATATGGATCACCGGTTAAACTGTACCGCCTCAATGCATCTTGCACTTTCTCATCCCGCAAGTCGTCGTCGATGGACAGCCCATTGGCTTCCAGGAAGACTTCTACGGGGGACTTCCAGGAGTTTTCAGCAAAAGGTCCTCCACGTTTGGACTGAGCTTGTTGATTTTCACCTTCACCAGTGATGTCGGATGTGCCTGACAACTGAACAAGGGACACACAAATCAAGAAATCAAATCAAACGAATCAAAAGAAACCAGGAAATACACAGAAAAGCTTTCACCAGGATTACCACCCATGACCAGGGTAATACCAAGATCATAAACAAGACTCTAGAGTGTTCAACTAACTTCGCATCTTTTCGCCAAATGCTATGGCCAAAGGCCGAGAATTTTTGTTGAGTAATGTCAACGTGACCTTTTTCAGGGAACATCACGCGTGTCGTACAGAGCACGCGCAGAGTCGCAGACGCCGCAGAGCAGTGGGAGAGCACGTGCTGGGCTCCGACCTTCAACAGGAGTTTGTGTTTTTGAGGTTTTTGTGCTGTTTTTTTTTTTTAGACTGAAGAACTTTAAGCTCTCCCACTCCTGCAGTATTTTCTGCGCACGGGTTTTTGCTGAGGTCAAAGTACTTGCACTATCTTCCGGACTAGGCCTCGACCAAATTTCCTAACAAAAGAGCATATTATGCTCATCGTATATCAGGGAAAACGTCCATAATATGCCAAAGGCTTAGCAAGATGTGCAAAAAGATATGCCAAAATATGCTCGACATAAGCAGAAAGTGTAGATCATTTCAGTAAAATTACAACCTTGGAATATGCATTGGCTTCACGGCTATAACACTTATGGTGCAAATCAAAACACATGCGGAATAGTATGGCTGGGGTGTGTCCCAAGCAACCGTGGCGATAGTGTTCATCCATGGGGAAATGTAGCAAGCGCCTCAACCATTCAAAATTCATCCATAAAAGGCATTTCTGAACGCATTTTGCCCATAATATGTATCAACCGCTTTAGGAGCTGTATCTGCGCCTTGATCCTTGAAAGGTGGTGGCGTTCCTACGGATGCGGAATAGTGCTAGGCGGATAATGCTCGCCGAAATCCCTCATTCTGCTTTTCGGTCTGCTCAATATTCTGCTCATGAAAGTGCATTTTCTGCTGAAATTTCTGCTGAAATCCAGTTATGTAAAAATACGCTTGGCACACATAATTGGGTTAAGGATCTAAAAAGATGAGTCATGTGAAATACTAGACAAGGCATGAAAAAGAACACATGTGGCCGGCGCAGGCGCACTTCAGATGAAGGCTAGCCACACTACATAATATGGCCCAGTTGCAGCGATTTTCGACCTTCGTTGCAAAATGATTGTTTTGCGAACATTTTCAAGTCTGACTTCACTGGTGTCGTGATCCACGGAATACCCGTCCGCGGCCCGGCTTGCGCAGCAAAAGATGATTTGATTTGAATCTTTTCACACAGCGGGCTTTTTCACCGAAGGTCGAAAATCGCTGCAACTGGGCCATATTATGTAGATCTACGACTCGTAGACTTCTGCCACTGGGCTGCCATTCAAGGCTGCTACCTTCCGCAAAGTAACAGTTCCGCCTTCCGGCCACATTTGGTGGATGGATGGACTGCGTGTCGAAGAACGCGGCAAATCTGCTGCAAAAGCAGAACGTCGCACGCCAATTCCGTGGTAACTGTCATTTGACATGGCAGAGAATGCTTTTTCAGCCCCCGTTCTGCCGAAATATGCTCGACCCCCCAAACAGGCGTTTTCTGCCGAAAATTCTGCCGGCATTATCCGCCAAGCCCTAATGCGGAAAGCCCGGCTTCCAGCCGAGTCTCACGCGAACCGTGAACAAAAATGCATGTTTTGTCCCCATTTTCTTCAGAATATTTGAATTATATGCTGGCTTCATTCCAATATTCCCTTTGTGGCTAAATATGCCATATACACATGTATGAACTGTGTCGCAAAATATGCGGAAATATGCGCAAGCATACATGTATTTGGTCGAGGCCTATTCCGGACAGCGGACATGACTTGAAAAATGAAAATGATTTTCAACCAAGCAAGACTGGATGATTGCGCCGAGACGGTCTCAACATTGGGGTTTGTGTTCAACCTTTCCAACAATTCGCCCACGCTTTTACGTTCAATAATGGACAACAACTTTTGGGGATTGATGAGCGCTTCGCTGCAGGGGCCATGTTTTCCATTTGTGGATAAACAAGGGTTACCACGATTCTCTCTTCCAAAGAGAGGTCCATCTCCGCCAGTAGCCCTGTCAGAGACTACAATGGTGCAAAATAGGAGAAGAAGAAACACCCAACGATTGAGAAACGAGAGACGAAAAGGACGAGGCACAAGTAGTTTATGGTAAAAGAATATGCTCAGCTCGCATCTCCCCTGAACCTGACAGAAGCAGAGTCGACGCATCTGTCAACAGTAGGCCTCAGCGGGTAATGCTAGCATTAAAACTAGCATAATGGGGTTTTCACAGAGGAGGGGGAGGGGGAGCATTGTCCCGGCAAAAATGAGGCATTTATTTTGGAGAAACTAGTATAATTCGCGACTTTCAGCATCTCATGGCCGGAGAGTCGTAGAATACAGTACTCCCTGATCAACCTGATCAACCACAAACTATACCATTGCGTACAACGATGTTGCCTTTGATCGAGTAGAAGTAGTCTACCACCGATCAATCAATTTTTGCGCGCAAATCTTTATACCTACTTTGGAAACAGACTTTTTCGCGTACTCTTCTGCGATTTGTTTGCTGTATTTGGTCATATATTGCAAGCATAAAACCCCCTAAACTAGCATAACAAGCATTAAAACGAGCATAATATCCAGTTTTTGGCGGCATTCTGAAAAGCATAATCGGCTTACTAGCATTACCCGCTGATGCCTAGTCAACAGTGTCCAGCCAAGTTAGTCTATCTCCTGCAGCTTGGAGAGCGCTCTCCACGGAGAGATCCGCTGCCTTCAGGTCGTGCCAAATCGTATCTATCCACCGTAATGGTGGACGGCCACGGGTTTTTAATGTCGTTTTAGTTCATGGATAGCTCCAGTGCTTGGAACGAGGCGGATTCTGGACCCTCTCGCACTACATGGCCGAACCACAGCAGCCTGCGTCGCCGGAATGGGGCACTAACTGGAGATTGTTTTGTTTCTGTGTATAAGTTGTTATTGGTGATGCGTTGCGGGTAGACAATGGTTAAAAAAAGAAGAAAAAAGGTAAAGCACAAAGTTTATGTATCTATGTCATTCGGATCTTTCCAAGTTGTACATTGTACTGTTGAGATACCGAATTCAAATAAATCAATACCATACCAAAATACCAAGTCTCCGCAAGACGATGGGAGAGTCGCGAAGGGATCCACAGCCTCTTTACGGCTGCCGGAATGATTTTGCCTTCGAAAATCTTTTTTTTATTTATTTATTTTTTACTAGAGCCACGTAAACCCGTCATGTGTTAACCATGAATAAGGGGAGTGGTGGCGTGGTCTGGGATGCTCTGCCGACCTTGGGTCTCGGCTTCATCACAACCAGGCGCGCCAATAGCAGAGAGAGAAAGAGAGGGAGAGAGAGAGAGAGAGAGAGAGAGAGAGAGAGAGAGAGAGAGAGAGACATAGACATATCCAGAGAAAAGAGTAAGCAGGGCACGAGGCGTATGGCAATATGCAGCAGTGTGTGGGCAGATGTGCATACATCTTACAAAGTGTCAGTGGCCCAGTGCCATTGCTGGGCACGGAGGTGCCGGAAGACAGACACTTTGAAACTTTGCAGCCGTTTCCGGTCAGGTGGCTGGCTGAGGACGGCAGGTGGCAGGGCATTCCATACAGGGACAGCACAGGCGGGGAAAGCTCTATGGCAACTTTCCCGGCTATTGACAGGTAGCCCTGTCTCAAGCTGGTAGTTATGCATGTCGAGACGGACGAGAGAGAGAGACGAGTGGGTCGAACATGGGCTGGTCGGGGGGCTTGAGAGGGAGGCAAGAGCTGACGAAGTGGGCTGGTAGAATTGGAGCACAGTAGCTTGTAAATATAGGTACACGCAGCTACCATGCGCCGGATAGACAGGCTTTGCAGCATTGCGCCTGGGCCAATCAAGTGGAGGGCTGAGCGCTGGGTCTGGTCAAGTCGCTGCAAGTGACAATCTGCTGCGCCCATCCAGACCAATGGGCAGTACTCCATTACTGGGCGTAAAACCCCACGGGACACTGTAGCTCGGCTGCGAGAATCCAGGAGCGGCGAGGCCTTCCGCAGGAGCCCAAGACGCTGGCGTGCTCTGACGGCGATGGTACGGAGGTGGTTGCGGTGGGAAAGTTGGCTGTCCAAGGTTACCCCAAGAAGCTTGAGGTTACTCTCTCCATTCAGGGGACACCCGCAAACTGTACTGCTGGGAGGTCCCAGGCGTGGCGGTGATGGTCAATAGTCATGGCCTGGGACTTGGCTGGCCCCAATTCACAAGGGCATCGAGAGCATTTTGCAGGACTGTCGAGCTGTGGTCAATGGTATCCATGGTGGACAGGCACTGAAACAGCGTTGTGTCATCGGCATAGCGGCCAGATCTACACCTGGTGGAAGGTGGTCATCGGCATCGTTCGTGTAGAGGAGGAACAGTGTCGGTCCCAACAAGCTACCTTGCGGAACACCGGCTGTGATGCGGTGTGGGCTGGACGACTGCCCACCAACGACAACACTCAGGCGCCTGTCCAGCAGGTAGTCCCCCAACCATGCAAGGAGCATGCCGGATACACCGTACTGCTGGGCTTTGTGGATCACACCTGGGTGGGAGACTCGATCGAACGCTCCAGCAATATCCACAGCAACAACCCGCACAGCCCCGCCCCCTGCAGCCACGGTACTCCAACGATGGTGTAGTAGGGTAAGGAGGTCCTGCGTTCCCAGGCCGGAGCGGAAGCCGTACTGGTTAGCAGTGAGGATGTGCCGGCGCTCAAGGAATCCCATAAGGCTACGATTGATGATAGCTTCCATGACCTTTGACAGTATTGGCAGCAGGGATATGGGTCGGTAGTTCTTTGTTGCGGAATTCGAACCCTTCTTGTGCACAGGTACAACTTAAGCAAGCTTCCACAGTGACGGTTGCCGGCCTTGGCGGAATGCTTTGCTGAAGAGCCGGGCCACAGGCCTGCACAGTTCCTCACAGCACTGCTTCAACACTCGTCCTGGTACACCATCCGAGCTAGTGGCTTTGGACGGGACAATCCTCCTCAATTCACGACATACCGTTCGTGGCCTAAAGTAGATGGTACTCAGACAAGCATCAGATCGCGGGCGTACATACGGGAGGTCGCTGGCATCAAGGTCATCACCAAGGCTGCATTTCGCTGAAAAGTAGCGGGCAAAGATCTCTGCTTTGTCCTTACTGGTGGCTAGCTCGTCGCCGTTTTCCTCCTTGAGGGTAGGGATATCATGGCTACGCCCACACCCACCAGCACGCTTGACAGTGGACCACCATTCACGACTGGATAAACCACCCGCTGCGAGCCTTCGACGGATGGATGCTGCATGGGTATCTTCAGCTCTCTGAAGGCATGCTGAGGCAGTGGCTGTGGCTTGGGTATAAGCCAGTTGGAGTTGTGCATCTGCTGGATGCAGACGGAGTCGCTTCCATGCATTTCGCTTCCTCTTGGTGGCTTCGGTGCACTCTGGTGTCCACCACACTGGGTCGGTACTGTGCAGCTTGAGGCTCCTGGACGGGATGACCGTTGTCATGCCCTCAGAGATCTTGCCAGTCAGCCGCTCGCATGACAGGTCAATGTTGTCAGTGATGATAGAGTACCGGTCTGTTTGCCGGAAGAAGTGCTTTAAACGTGGCCAGTCAGCCAAAATAAAGCGCCACACGCACCTTGAGGTTGGAGGCTCCCAGTGTGGTGGAGCACGCAGGAAGTCGGTAATCACACTGGCATGGTCAGATCGGCCGAGAGGTGGGTGCACAGTAGACACGACCGGGGTGTCAAAGTCGGAAAGGACCAGGTCCACGGTGTAATTGCCCCTGGTTGGCTCAAGCACGTGTTGGGTGAGGTGATGAGCAGCACTGAGCTCCTCCATTGCTTCGCCAGTAGGTGTTGTTTTTGTACTACAGTATGAAGCCAGTCGTCGCTGTGGACGTTGAAGTCTCCAGCAAGGATCAACTGGGTACCATGACATCGGGCAGCATCAAGAGTGCGATCAAGGTACTCCATGAGGCTGGTGTCACCCTCCGGAGCACTACCAGGCCTGTACAGGGCAGCAACAACAGCTGTTCGACCACATCGCAGACGGACGGTGAACCATATGATCTCCTGGTGGTCACGGGGGACCATGCCTAGCTCAATAGCCGCTAGGTCGTTGCGCACCCAGACAGCGACACCACCTCCTTGAGCCGTCCTATCCAACCGCATTGGAGGGCCATAGCCAGGGGTGGCAGTATCGGCTTGTGACATTTTTTCCACCGTGAGCTTGGTTTCGGTAACGATAGCGATGTCGGGAGAGTGGAGTGCGAGAGCATGGCGGAAGTCACCAAATTTGGAGGCTATGCCAAAGGCGTTCGTTAGGTACAGTCGGAGCGTGTTGGTCGTGCTCGTGCTGGTCATTCCGAGTTGATAGATGATCCCTTGATGGCACCAGACGATTCATCAGCTGGGCGTGTCTCAGTACGGATATTTGGTAGGCCACTTAACAGATCCATTTCCTCATCATCACCCGCAGGTGATCGGGATGGTGAAGAAGTAGAATCATACTTGTCGAAATTCCATAGACGTGAGTACAGAGGTCTAGGCCAGAACTCTCTCGAATTTACTAGTACTGCACTCTTAGCATCCAGAACAAGGCGTGCCGAGGAGGACCTTTCCTTTTTGAAAATTTTGCATTCGTAGATCTTGACGTTCACTTTGGCTTCACTTGCTCTGATGGTCACAAACTCGGCAATCTTTTCAGGTACTGCACTGCAGGGAAGATTGCCAACGAACATCACACATTTCGTTCCGACAGGCTTTCGTTCACAAACAAGTTCCCATACTCCACGGTCTTTGTTGTCCTCTTCGAAATTAGAAAGTAAATCACTCTGCGCTGGGATGGAGGCATTTTTCGAATTTCTGAGCTGCGATACGATTGTGCTCTCAGGAGAGGAACTGGAACTGTCGACAGCTACGGAGGTCTCGGAGGTCGTACGGTGGTCGCTGCCTGGAGTATCCGTTTTTGTACTCGTTGATGTGGCAGCGCCACTAGGTCGGTTTCTTCTATTTTTTTGGCCTTTCTTGTTCGTTGTTTTTTGGTCGACTTTTTCGGAAATTCCATCACCGTGATCAAATGCCGATGACCCAGCAGCTTTCAGAGACAGTTCTTCAACCTTCCGGGTGAGCAGATCAATCTTGGACATCAGACGTTTCTCTCGATCTGCTGCCTCGCGTCGCTCTCGCTGTATTTCAACTACAATTTCCGCCAGGCCGTTTCGGCAATCACTGCATTTGTTTGTAAGAACTGAGCTGGGCGAAGGACTCCCATATTCGAGGGGGTCAAATACTATACTGTTACTACTTGCACTTGTGGCCATGGCCAGGGCAAAAAACTCCTGGCATGGGACAACCTAAAACCGAAGACTTTCACAAAATCTTTCCTGTTCTGGAAGCCCTTGGTCAGAACGGCTGCATCCGCACGTGACGAACTCAAGAATATTTTCGATAGCGCGACCCGGCAAGTGAATCAGACGGCTGTCTCGCTCTTCTTATCCCAAAGAAGCCAGGGACAGGTCTGAAACCAAGCGCTCTTGAAAGCGCAGAACACATGGTTCTTTGCGGCAAACGCGGGTTCCAGAAATGTAATTGTGGAGTAGTGTGCGGAAGGAATGTGCGGTTAAGGAGTGTGCGGAAGGAATGTGCGGTTAAGGAGTGTGCAGAAGGAATGTGCGGTTAATGAATGAAGGAAGAAAGTGCTGTTAAGGAGGCAGAACACAAATGAGACAAGGAAATAACTGTCTTCGGACTGTCACTGGTACACACCAGGAGGTTAGAACTGCTCTTCTCCACTCGTTCTGTTGTGAAGAAATCAGTGGGTCACAGCAGCTTTTATAGGTCGCGACAAGGAAGGAGATTCTGCATGTGTCAAGAAAAAGGGCAGAAGTCTGTCGTGTTCGTCCAAACAAAACGAGGGGAGGCATAGCAACAGTGTACTATCTATGTACTTGTAAATGTGTAATGACATCAGAATGAAATGGACCTTTGGAGGAGGATATTCAGAAGGTTGTGGATAAGAATGCAAATACAGTCAAAGGGAGAAGAATATGATTGAAGAAAATGAACTTCCCAGTTGACGGGTTCGACGCCCCACAAGCCGCTCGGATAGCTCTATTGTACACGCTTACTAGGCGATTGTGATCCTTCGCAGTAATCAGCGTGACGAATGAATAGATGCAGTACAGAATGTGAGGAAGAATGACAGGCAGGATGTACTAGTACTGGCGGCGTGGGAAGAGAGCAGGTGAAGGAATCTGCTATGGTAGGGAAGTTGCTTACATAGACATAAAAGAACACAGGACCCAGAGCAGTGCCTTGCGGGACTCCACGCGACACTGGGATGACCCTGGATATAGCATGTGGCAGGTAGGCTCCGGCGGATTATGCTCGCGAAATCATTGAATTATGCGTTCATGGATTCTCGCATTATGCTCGCGAAATCCTCATAATTATTATGCTTTGGCACGCAGGGATACATACTCACTTTGGTGTACTTATGGAGCCTCAAAGTTCGGAAAATTGTGCCTTTTCGTACTTGCAAGTGGCCATTAGTACAACAAAATACATGAATATCCCCATACCAAATGTCCATGCATATTAGAGATCAACATGGAAAGAGAAAACATGACTCCTTCTATTCATCAGTTGATTTCTTTTGTAAAAATAATTTTTCATTGCTAAATTAGTTTGAGTTACCTTTGAAAATTATCATGTTCAACTGTCTTCGTAATCGTCATACTCGTCCAACCGATGTCACCCTCACCCTGCGAAAAATCAGCTCATCTCTCCCGTAGCTCCACCTCTCCTTCCACCATGACCGAACATCACCTATACCTCGTTTTTTACTTATTACAACAATAACCATAGCCTGCACAGTCGATGGTCTCGATCCAGCGCGCTTCTCTGCACACCTTTTCGGAAAAGTTGCGAAGTAGTTTGTGAAAATGAAGAAAATTGCGATTTCTTGCAAAACAACGGAAAGTTGCGAAAAAGTGGCCAGCATCTTTGGAAACGGGCTACTCCCGGAACCCTTTACCATGCGGACCACCAGCAGTGATCAGCTGCATTGTGCAAAATTGTGTAGCTTACATACTGGAATTGTGGTACAACCATGTATTTATGCTCCTACCTCCGAAAGGATGCCTCATTATGCTCCAAATTTGCAACCTCCAAATTATGCCAAAAATTATGCCGGTGCCTAGTGGCAGGGTGACTTTCCGCAACCTTGATCCAGCATTGGATTGTTCAAACTGTTGCAAAAGAAGGATCCACGACCGGGATTCGCACCCAGCACCCCTATCTTTTCGGAACAGTGCCCTACCGGCTAGGATACCGTAGATCACACACACCGGGGATCACACACACACACCGGGGATCACTATGTATTTGTTTACCGCTGCCTGAATGGACTTGCTAGTCCTCTTCTGCGAGACCGCTTTACCTTGCGCGCCCATGGTGCTCGCACTGCAGCCACCACTCGTGGCCAAGTCTCTGCTGCTCTTGTTCTGCCCCCCCCCCCCGCTAACACCCGATATGGCTTTAGTGCAATTTCTTATTTGGGCGCTGCCAGGTGGAATACACTTCCACCGGCTTGCCGCATGTCTAGTTCACCAGCTGAATTTCGCTCATCCATCAAATTATACCTAGGGTTCCCTGTAAAAAGGCGCTGACGCCTGTTGAGAATTCACTAGTAAAAGAAGAATAAATAATAAAAAAATAATAATCACACACACTGGGGATCACACACACACCGGGGATCACACACACCGGGGATCACACACACCGGTGATCACACACCCCGGCTGGTGCGCCCATCTTGCTACAAAACTCACTGGTTCTTGACTGGGGTCCATGCTTGGCCAGGAAGGCCATTGCTGCTGTTGCTGCTGATGGAGTTGCTGGTGCTCTAGCTCTGGCTGCTCCTGGGGTTGCTCCTGGGATTCAGGTGATGCTTGCGATGGCGGTGACGAACCACCACACCGCGCCGGAGGACTCTACAAGGAACGGAAAGATCAACAATATAGGATTCAACACAATAAATGAAGCGAGTTGCGCATTCATCATGCACATCTTTTGTGAGAGGTTAATAACAGGATTAGGATATTTTCAGAACAAATTCACCATGCACATAGAGAGCTGGAGCGCATTAAAACGGTGCAACTAGCGGGTATTTAGATCATACTTACTGTATCACTATTATGATATTATCAGACATATATGTATCACAAAGATCACATATTGGCACATATATGTACATAATTACTGTTTATATAACACTCCTTTTTAGGGAAAAGTGCAATGCTACATGGGAATGTGTAGTGGTATTTATTGACTCAAAGCAAATTGATGTGAATACGATACTGTTGATGGTGTGGTCACTAACGAGTGGGAGTATATATCAAAGGTCAATATAATATAAGGTCAACACAATTATGTGTTTATATTCGCTTGTGTATGCGTGCATGCATGTCGTGTGTGTATGTGTGTGTGTGTGTGTGTGTATGTGTGTGTGCGTGTGTGCGTGTGTATGTGTTTGTCTGTGTGTGTGTGTGTGTGTGTGTGTGTGTGTGCGTGTGTGTGTGTTGCCAGCTAGGTCGGTTGGTGGGTGCACTTATGTCGGATAGTGTTGGGTCTGTTGCCAACGGGCTCGGCTGCTTGAAGGTGCAATGTTGTACCTACCACCTTTGTTGGTTTCAGGGTTCATATACTTTCTATTTGAAGTATACATACCTGTTAACCATGGACTGCTTCTGGCTAGATTTACTCTTGTGTAATCCTGGTGCTAGTGAAGCTTGTATCAGATCCACACTGATTTAGCCACCCACACTAGTAGCAAGTATTACCTTCACTGGGGGCAGGGGTAATTGCAGTTGGATCCCGGGACGGATACCCTGATTCCGTCAATCCTTTTTCTGCACCTTGTTCTCATCCACCTCCTGAGGTGTGGTGAGCCCATAAGTGGGATCATTTTCAAGTCCACCCAGAGGTTTGGGGATTTCAGGGGGTTTCGGCCGTTGGGCGGTTCAATAGCCAATTGAGTCATCTTTCTAAGATTCCTTTTGAGTCTCTCTCCCCACTCCCGGGGAAACCCAGGTGACCAATTTTGGCAGTGAGCAACAAGTACAAGTGTGTGTGTGTGGGGGGGGGGGGGGGGTGTGAGTGTGTGTGTGTGTGTGTGTGGTGTATGTGTGTGTGTGTGTGCGTGTGTGTGTGTGTGTGTGTGTGTGTGTGTGTGTGTGTGTGTGGGTGTGTTCTAGTACGTGTGTCTGGTTACTCACACTGCGCTGGTGTCCCGACAGTGCCTTCACCGAATATCCAGAGTAAGGTGGGTGACCATGCTGCACCGGGCTGTTGCCAGGACGATAGTACGGAGAGCTCGTATCAGCGTATACGGCTCTGCCACTCGGTCCACTGAGGGAGGATGCCGTCGGCGTGTTACCATACTGTGACTGGTGTAGACTGCTACCAGTCGTTGCCGGCGGTGGTGTGGGTATTTGCGGCTGCTCCTGTTGTTCCGGCTGCTGCTGTTGTTGCGCCTGCTGCTGTTGTTGCAGCTGTTGCTGTTCTTGCGCCTGGTGCTGCTCTTGTTGCTCCTGCTGCAGTTGTTGTAGATTCTGCTGTAGGCGCTCAAACACTGCCGACCAGAATTGAAAATCTTCAGATTTCTGCTGCTCCTGTTTTTGCGCCTGCTGCTGCTGATGTTGCGGCTGCTGCTGTTGTTGCGTCTGCTGCTGATGTTGCGTCTGCTGCTGTTGTTGCGGCTGCTGCTGTTGTTGCGTCTGCTGCTCGTATTGTAGATTAAGCTGCTCAATCACTGCCCACCAGAATTCGCGGTCATATGTCTGATTCAACGAGAGCACATCATCAAGAGTATCGCAAAGAAATTACAGAATACATTGCCAGCCCTTGTCAATGACACGGTAAAAGAGCACAGTGATTCAGGAACCCGAAAAGGGCAGTGAATTGCACTTGCACAAGAGTTCTGCTACTGTAGCCCAGTATTCCAAGCATTCAAATATGCTTTGCTAATGTGACCATTGGAACACTGGAAAAGTCTTGCGCGGCGGAGGCACATACATTGCCTCAAACTGTTTTACCATTTCACCCGCCAATACCCGGAAACCCTCAATAATTTCAACATAGTTCTATCCAAGAGTGCACCACGTCCTCAAATTTACCTCCTGCCCACTCACACTGGTCCCTGCTTCCGCTCCACTCTACTACATTCCATGATCACCACGTGGAACTCCCGGCCTACCGAGATTAGGATATCTGAAACCCGTGGTGTATTTAGCCGGCACGTTAATTAAGTCCCATTTCCACAGGTATAGATTCCATCCTCGAGGTTTCTAACTTCTTGATTACCCCCCTTCTTTACCAGTACCTTTTTCGCTTGCTTCTACTCAGACTTTTTAATAAACCTCTTCACATTAATCTGTTTTTATCTTAATATTTTCTTCCTTTTAAAAATTGCACCCTATTGTACACGTATTGTACACGTATATTTATACTCGGAAACCCCCTTGATTTATGCTTCGGCCTTTGGAGAATCCATCAAATAATAATAAATAATAATAAAAACACATCTACAGATGCTGCTCAATCCAACCAGCACATCCATCCAAGTTCTTTAACGCTAACTGAGACGGAATCAATGCAAGATCTGTTCATATGCACATAGCACCTATTGGGTAGGGCACCGTCCTCTCAAGACAGGGATGCTGGGTTCGAATCCCGCTTCTTTTTTTCTTTTCTTTTTCCTTTTCTAACTAAAGCAGGGCTGTCAGGTCCACTAAAGATATACAGTCAACTTCGCTTATAACGACACTCGGCGGGGCATCAAAAAGGTGTCCTTATTCGCGAAGTGTCGTTATACCCGAAGTCTCATTATACGTATCACAGTGGGATGGGACTTTGCTCTGGGCATGGACATTCTGTCGTTATTCGCGAATTGTCGTTATATCCGCAGTCGTTATTAGCGAAGTTGACTGTACACAACCACACAGCAAGGCGCACAAAAAGAAAGCGTGAAGAGTGATGAGGTGCTACTAGGTGGAGGCAGTGTAAAGAAGAACGCCTTCCACCTCATCCGGCGTATTACACTCTTCACTTTCTCCACCAAACGCTTTCGGTAGGAGTCTGCTGATGGGATGGGTATATTCCCGAGGGAATGGAATTTTTGTGCGCCTTGCTGTGTGGTTGTGTATATCTTTAGTGGAACTGACAGCCCTGCTTTAGTTCGAAAAGCTGCCTGACGATTGAAAAACTCAAGAAACTCGGAGTAGCAACGGATTGTGTTTTCTTGGTGAGGACCGCTTCCATTGTGTACTAGCTCCAGTGCACCCCAGCGCTGTTCAGCCCTCTTTGCGGTGGATGGGACCACTTCCCCCTGTGTGAAGGCTCTCTTTTATAGATTGAGCACTCTTTCTCAGATACCGCAGCTATGGACCCGTCAAGACGGACGGACCTCGGCTATCCCCTCCGGAATATACCCATCTCATTAGCAGACTCCTACCGAAAGCGTTTGGTGGAGAAAGTGGAGAGTGTAATACGCTGGATGAGGTGGAAGGCGTTCTTCTTTACACTGCCTCCACCTAGCAGCACCTCTTCACTCTTCACGCTTCACTCTTTCCTTTTGAGCGCCTCTCTCACTTTCTGTCTCCGTCATTCCTCCCCCCCCCCCTCCCATGGTGCTTGCTGTGTACGCTGATCCCGAGACCCTTGGTCGGGGGAGTCCACCGCATCTCACCAGCGCAGCTCATGTAGCGCTCACACAGCCGTTGTTGTTTTTAGTTTTGTCTTCGTTTTGTTTCCCCTTCTTCCGTAGGTATGTGCAATGTGATAAAAAACATGAGCTAGTTTTTTAAAATAAACTACTACATGTACACGTTGAAGAAAGGAAAAGGACAAAATGTTACACTTCTCCAGGGCGCAAACCAACAAGCTTCCAACTGGAAAGGCTCAGGTTCCAAGTTGGAAGGTTGTTGGTTTGCGCCTTGGAGAAGTGTTGGAGCGGGGTGTCAGGTCGCCAAATGTCTCAGTACTCCTTGTCAGTTTTGTGCCTGTTTGTCGCACTTGTTGGCTGTATAAGATCTGGTTACGTTGGTGGACAGTTTGTCATAACTCGTAACATTTTGTCCTTTTCCTTTCTTCATCATAACGATATTGGCTCACCATCCGAGTTCAAACATGTACATGTAGTAGTATTTGTGTAAAAAACGTGACTAGTGATTCATGCTCAACAGCTCGTAGTAAAACATGACGAAGAAAACTATGAAAACTCACCTCGACATCAAACTCCGCCAGAAAATTGATGTCCATGTTTGGCATATCAAAATCCATAACGCCATAGTCGCTCTCAGAATCTTCAGCGGTCACCAACTCCTCATACTTCTGTAGGGTCTTCAAAAAATTGACTCGCGACTTCAATTCGACATTCTGCATACAACAATAAACGCACAAGGGAGAGTATTGGTCGCCTTGTTTACAATGACAGATGGTCGAATAGAAGTAGGCATGCTCTGCTGACACGAGAACTCGAGAATGAGATATCTGTTACTAGCTCTCTTTGTCGCTTCTCTTGCTTGAATCATCCTATAGGCCATTGTTGGCAATCACCCATATCTCTACATTACTTGGCAGTCTCAACGACATACTAGACGATAGTGATAGCTTCCAACCTCTCTTGTGTATAATGATGGCCGAAACAGCTTGCTGTCTACAGCATTGGGTATAATGATAATTATAAAACATGGATAATAGGACCAGCAGGACTCACCTCCTCAATCAATTTCTCGACTTCCGACTCCAAATTCTTGATATAGTCTTTCTCTCGTTCTCGTGATGCACGAGCAGATGCTTGATTTGCTAGTCTCCTACCAAAAAAGCATCGCACAGCAGAATAACCAATAAGAAATCTGGAATAAAGACTGAACTAAAATAATAATTGATTGAAGGAAATTCTTCAATGTAGCACATGCATCTGCGTAATCCACACCAGTCCAAATCAACAACAGGGAATTTAAAAACCGGACATTTTCGTTCCCTTCTCTTCATAGGCTCTTATAGGGAATACAGCAAAAATGACTAAGATAGTTAAACTATCTTAGTCATTAAAATAATAATATTATTAAAAAGAATTATACTTTAAATATTTAAGTACTTATTAAGAAAGTGTAAGGATTACAATACACAGAACCAGCTGAAGAAACACTGTTGTCAACTGACTGCCGTCGCTGCCTTTTCAAATATGACTAAGACAGCAAATTGTAACATGGGCAAAGCATTGAGGGACATAAACATCACCCTAGAAAAACATTTTCGGGTCAAAAACAGCATGAAGATGAAACTATAATACTAACTAATTGAACGTACATGTATCCCCATTTTTGCTATATTCCCTTTAAGACCTCTAGCATGGAGAGAATGAACGAAAACGTTCGGTTCTAAACAAATTATAGTTTTCATTTGGACTAGTGTGGATTGCGCAGATGCATGCATCCATTTCGGGAATATACAAGGACATATAAAAGCCATCACACTAGTGCCTTTTCAAAATGGTCAAACCCATGTTCAATTGATGTTGATTGATTCTTCGTTTACCACTTTGACTAGCCTACGTCGTGTAGTAGGCTCCGGCGGATTATCCCGGCATAATTATGGGCATAATTTGGTATGATCAAGAGGGGTAAGTAGCAGTATTCGGCCTTGCCGAGATTCTTATCAACCACCACACCACACCGCTGCGCTCTCCGGCCGACCTCAAGACGTTGCCACAGCACACCATCAGCAGAACGACACTTCAGTTGGTACTCTGCTCCTTCAGACAGCAGCTGTTTCGATCATCAGGATCTCGTCAGTGAAGGTTGATAATATAGAATGGATAAAAGATAGTGAACTTCACTCTTTTGTACCAAAAACAAGATGGAAACATAATGGCACATCTTAGGCGCAAAAAGGGGGGCACCATTATGGAGCATCCTAGGCGCGAAGATTAAGGCTAAGCAAAGGCGATAATGATAGACTACACTGAGGATACCAGTACTATATAGTGTGTAAGTTAGAGTACGGTCATCTAGTGATGGCCAGGTGTGACTTCGATAGATGGCACAGCATAGGGCATGTAGCAACGCGAGAGGCCCCTGGGGCATTCACTCCGTCCACTCACTCACTACACAGCACAGCACCACACCATCGTCACGTCACAGCCATTCTTCAGTTGCCATGATAATGCCGTAGCTTAGCAATGAAGAGACGAAGTGACAAACACATGTTCACAAAGTATCATTCGCGAGGCCCATGAGGCATTCGCTCTTGACACTGCGCCATGGTTTGACATCCGCCTGTAGTTGAAATTAGAGCGTCACAGCCATTCCGAATCTTCCTTAAATGTCGCTGCCGAGTTTCCGTCGTTCTTCATTAGTCTCCTCGTCTCCACCATCGGCTGCTACTTGACTGGCGCATTTACGTATGACCAAGAGGGGTAAGGGGCAGCATTCGGCCTTGTCCAGATTTTTATCAACCGCCACATCAACCGCCTTTGCTTAGCCTTAATCTTCGCGGCTTCATCTTCGCGCCTAAGATGCGCCATAATGTTTCCCCCCTTTTTGGAACTAAGATGTGCCATTTTGTTTTTCCTATTTTTTGCTACAAAGGGGTAAAGTTCACTATCTGTTAGCCATTCTACATTATCAACGAGCTCCTCCTTTTCCCCCTCCCACAGATCCAGTGTCCATCCTCCACTTTCTCGATGATCCCGGTCACCCTATCTCTGTAGCGCCCCACCATAAACACCTTGGCAATGTCATAGATTCCGCCCTCTCCTGGTCTCACCATGCTGATCATGTGTGGTCCAAAGTATGCCGATCTGTCGGCATAATGTCAAGTCACTTGTCCCATTTGCCCCAAAATTGCCGGATTAATTTTTATAAATCATACATTCGTCCCCTCTTCACGTACGGCTTCCCTGCCTGGTCCATCAAAACCCACATAGGTAAATTAGAAGTTCTCCATCGCCGTATACTGCGCATCATATTTCGTACTGATCTTTATATCTCAAATCTAGACTTGTATGCTGCTGCATCCACTACCACTCTGCAACACTACCTTGATGCTTCCAAGTGCACCCTAGCACATTCAATTTTTCTTGACCAGCACCCTGTTAATTTACACTCCCTTAATTGGTTCAATTCAGGTGGCACCACCCGAAGCTGCGTTCGGCTCCCCTAGCTA